ATTCGTTTTCACAGTCAACCGGAAAGGAAACCTAGAAGGACTTCCCAAAAGGCTGTGGTACTTCCTACAGGAGGTGAAACATCTGTTTTGAGTAGAACAATCTCCCCTATAACTTTTTTTCTTAGAAGACTGGGAGTGCTCCTTCCTCTAGCAAAAGGTTAGTTCATAAATGGGAAATGYTGATAATAACTGCAGTGACCTCTATAGATAGTCCTGAGAAGCTGTTGCTATGCATGGAACCAAATTAATAACTGTAGACACCTGTCAAAACAGTGATTGCATATAGAGAATGACACCAGATACAAAAGGAGATGGTTGAGACTTCCTTCAAGAGTTAGTTTTGGAGTCCTGAGACCTTCAAGGCTGGCTGCAGAAGGCTCTGGTATGTGCATGCATAAAACTGAGTGGAAGTGTTTAGATTCACAGATGGACAGTTTTCTTCTTGTAAACGAAGCATATATTTACTTGACAAGTGGAAGTSTTGCCACCTGTGAAAAAGCTAAATAGGGATTTTGAGTGGATCCTTTGTGACTAAGCTTTTTAGAAATCCTGGCTGTGGGCCAGCTCTCAAGAGGAATATTCTTAATGTTTGTTTTTTCTTATGACTGAGATCGGGTCTTTAGATAATTTTGACAATGCCACAACAATTTTTTTTTTTTTTAATGGAGGGAACATACTCATGTTTCCTGTGTCTCCAGAGTCACTGGAGCACAAGCCTGTGATCCTCATTATATGAACAAGATGTTCTTAATGTTGAAACTGCCTTTTCTTTCCAGTATACTTGCAAGGGTTAGGTAAAACATATGGAATCTCTTCTGCTTTATTTATTAGCATGGGTAAATTTGCATTTTTCTTTAAAATTTCTGATATAATGTAGCCGGGATTCTGTTCAAGCAAAGACATATAAAGAGTTCCATCAGTTTTGTGGGCTTAGCTTCATATTATTTTTTACAATACCATTGTTGCAGGACAGACCAATCCCCGACACGTTAATGAAAGAGAACATGAGGTGCTTGTTACTGGTCCCTCCCTTGCTGACAGAAGAGTACAGCTCTCCTGGAGTTTGAGAGCTGTCTTCTGCAGCACCTGAGCATCTACACAATCACTGTGCTTCTTGGATCTGGAAAGTATTTTCTCACACTCTTGCTGCTGCTGTTGTGATCCTACTTGTGTTTTTATATTGTTAGCTTTTCCATATCCACGTTTTTACTCTTCTGTCTCCACTTCCTTGTCTTCCAGCGTTTTCCAAAGGAAAACATTACTTTTGCTACATTTTTAATTATTTGAGCCCTTCTTAAGTGGTTCATCAATGAAATTTTCAGCACCTTAACTTTCATGCAGTAACCTAAATTGATGACAGAGAAGTGTCTGATTATGGTATTATTGTTTCAGTGTTCCATAGAACAGTCAAAGGAAATAAGCAATGCCCCTGTTAAGCCAAAATTCCTATTACAGATTATTTGGATAGGAGATAGTTTGATACTTGATATGGTAACAGCTTTCTTGCTGTCTACTGTATACAGGTCACTGCTGTCTTGTACGTGTAGGTCATGGAGGCAGGAAGCAAATGTGGAACAGCAGCAACAGCAGATCAGTTATGACMACCAGATTCCAGGGAGAAGTCCTCTGAGCACATGGGGATAGCACACTTCCCAGAACACCAAAGTTGTGACATCAGGCACTACTGCTCACCATTTGGTATGTAAGTAATAAATGTCTTTCTTTCCATGTATCAAGATGYATAACTTTGGTGCCTCTTTTTCCCTTCTGCATCGAAGCTTTCACCAGCCAGCTCATTCTTCCTTTGCAGGTATTCTCTTTCCCTTCATTATTCAAGTTGTAGTGTCTTCCTCCTAAAATATCACAATTTTGTTCTTCCTTATGGTTCCCAGCTCTAATATTATTTACACTGTGTGGTGCAAACATGCATGTGAAATAATCTTTTCTTGCTTGTTTTTGAACCATTTGAATATCCTCAGCCATCATACTGCCTCTGCCTTYTTGTATCCGCTCTGAGCTCTCCATCTTCACAGAACTCCATCATGCTTCTTAATATCCCATGAAACTCTACCCATTTGCATCCCTCTGTCCTTCCAGATTTATGCACTTCCCTATGCTCTTTGTCATACTGCTGTTTTTTTTCCTTCTAAAGATAATTAATGACTTCCTTATTCCTTTTCTCTGCTGTCCTGTCCTATCTCAATAAGAATATTCTAAAACTCACTCAACAAACTTACTTCCTCTTCAACAGGCCCTTCTGGCTGAAATGACCTTCCCCAAACTAGCCTCCTTATCTGCCCTGAGAACCTGCTCCTTGCTAAAATCATTTACGTATAGGACAACTTTACTATTTTCTTTTTAATCTGTGTCGTTTGGTACTTGCCATATGAATTCCTTACTAAACAATTGTTTTCTGAGAGTTTTTGCTTCATTGTTATTTTATCTCTTTTTTTTTTTCAAATATTTCACAGAAATTATCTACAATCACCATCTCTGAAAAACCAAGCACACGTAACTGTCCCGTGCTGGAGACCCTCTTAACAAGAATGCATCCACTGTTTCACCTTTCCTTGCTGCCTAGAAAATGACACAGCTGTGCTCAGCTGCTGCCTGTCTTTAATTCAACTGAGCTGCAAGTTCTGGTGCAGCCTGAGCAACCTGGCTCTTGCCAAGTCCTGTATTTTAGCCCCACCTTTCATTTGCCCTCAGCACRTCCATCCATTTCACACTTGATGGTGCCACTGCCTCTCTGCCACATATCAGAAGACCTTTGCCAGCTGGTTGCTTATCCCCTCACCTGCTTCACCTGTCAGATTAGGGTCATAGGGAAAATAGGGAAGGATGTGGGAGAATTTGCTGTCTTATTAGAAGCATCAGCCTAGTGCAGCTGAATTGCATCTCTTGTGTATGGTCTGAAGGTTGTGGGTAACTTGTGCCTGACCTGATGCACACCTTTGTCCCAAGGCTGGAGGTACTGGTCTCACCTGTGGCAATTGTGAAAGGTCASCAGAGAGAGAAAGCAGCGTGCACAGGGAGCAGGAGCTGTTCATAAGGGTCTGAGAATGAAGTTTTGGTAAAAGATTTAGTCTCTATTAAAATGAAACACTACTATTCTATTTCCTCTATGGGCAACCAGTGAGAGCACACAACCTGTAACATATACTTTGCCAAGGATTTCAGACATCTAGGGAAGTTAGTGTAAGTATTACAATAACTTGGGAAAGATTAATTGAGAATGTACCCCATTTTGTCAGGTGTTAGGTCATGATTAAATGCTCTTTACTGTGTAGTAACATTTTATTACAACTTACATATGTTCAGAACACTGATAGAAAAGAAAGAAGTCACCTATTTACAATCACTACACATTTACATTATACTATTTACAGATAATGAATTTAGTAACATATATGAGCAGAAAATATAGAAAATATCAATATGAAACTGTACAGGGCTTAATCTCATGTCCTTTACTGTAGTTGCACTTCACTGTAATAATAAATACAGTTCTATATTTACACATTTTACTTAAAAAATCTATTAAATGAATTTAAACAATTTCAAGTTTAAAATATCTGATCAAAATATTTCAAACATGCTTATAAAAATAAGACACAAAGCCTTTAGGACCTTCTGCAAGCTAAAAAAGTTCTGATAAAAGAAGCTTTCTTTAACTAGTCTTTAGAATTATAATATTATCTTGCTTCTCAAATTTCTTTACAAACTTCTTAAATATAGCAAGCTGAAAGGAACCTCACTGACATTAAGCAGAGCAGCACAGATGGACCCCAGTTAAATTAAAGCTAAGTAAACATGGTAATAGGTATTGTGCAATGGTTGACTGATCCTCTGTTTAATCCAAAGTGGTTTCAGGCATCGTTTCTGCAGCTGTGTGCTGCACTGCTTCAAAAGCCACAACAGATAAAGGATTAAGATAAGTACCCAGCTGACTTTATCATACATAATTTCAGAATTGGTTCATTTCTTTCCCCTGAAGGATGAACATGTCAGCCAAAGTCAACTGATGCCATCTGTAACTTCAAAACTAAAAATATGCCAGTGTGAAGGGACAAGAAAATCAAGGCATATGCATTGTTGGCAACGAATTCTTCATTGTGGAAATCCATCCTTGGAGTTCCAGGAAGTTTTATATACAGGAACAGATGAACAACAGAGATCATCTGTAACTGATTACCTTAATTACTGGGCCTAGCCTAACCTTCTTAATTTTAAAAAATTAGTCTCCTTCACCTGGAGGTTGAGTGGCCATTAACTGAGCAGTGGGTACTGGGCTGTTAAGTGTTATTCCTCAGGGAGCATTCTTAACAACAAAAAAAGGTAAATTTGTGCATTTTTCTGTCCTAAATCATCGGCTTACTTAAGCAAAAGGTGCCAGCTCTGAGAAAAAAATACTGGAATATCCCCGGAGGGCTTGGACAAGGTCAAGAAATTATATTCTAGGTGTCTCTGTTGTCTGAGATACTTTAACACTAGACTTGGAAAGGACCTGAAGTCTCTTCTTTCCAACTAAGACGCTTCTGATGTGTAAATATACATGCCTTGATTCAGCGAAGTATTAACAGATTTAAAAGCAGAGAACTCTGTTAATCTAATCAAGCCTTTTCTGAAACTGAAGCCATCAGTAGTCCCTGAATTTCAACAGCTGCACCAGTATTTTTTTTGGCAATGTATCCAATAYGAATGTAGAGATTTTTGGTGACAGACAATTTCTGACAGATAATTTTTAACTAGCTGATGACCATCTCTTTCAACAATTTGCACCTTGATTTCTATGTTGCATATCTCTAACGTCAATTTCCAGTTGACCTTACCAGGCTCTCCTCTCAGATGAGTTGTCCTCTGCCTTCAAACTTCTGTATCCCAGAAGCAGCACCTTATAAACTGTACTCAAATCCCTTATTTCTTAAATTGCTTTAAATTTATGATATTCATATAATTTTCAATTTCACAATGTTCTTTACAGTATGTGAATGCAGTAAGTGTTTGAAATATCCCAGGATTGCTTGCATCAGTGCTAAGAAAACAGCTAACATAACCTCTTCACTCCTACTTGGTTTCACCTTAGGTAAGGATATTGGCTATCCTTATCCAGAAGGACACAGTGACCTCTAAATCTTCAGCTGAATAATGACTATGAACTAGCAGCTTCCTAGAACCATTGTTTCATGAGAGAGAGATCATGTCATGAGCAGGGCTACAGTTTTTGTTTCTAGACGAATTACCTTAGATGAATGTTTCAGTGTGAGTGCATTTGGTATCCTTTAATAGTTCTCAATGTGCCAGTTTTTTCATATTGATGACTTCAATGTAGTGTTTTCCACCTTCAAATTATATGAGTCATCTGCCAGTTTTATCACCAGTAACTCTGGGAGTAATTCTACTGGCATGAAAGGACRAAACTGTGCAGAACCTTCTCAGAAAAATACCCATGTGACAATGCCTTGCCATTTACAATTACATTTAAAATACTTAACAGGACTTTGATTAACTTCTTTCACATTATGTTAATTCTTTAGCTTTAGCTGGCAAGTAAAAATGCTTTGTCAAGTTAGATTACTTTCAAAACCCAAACTCAATGCCACTTAAACCATTTAATCAGCTTTATCAAACACGGAACTTCATCAAAGGGTATTCTGCAGAAACCTTTACGACTAGAAGACTACTCTTCCATTTAGATATCCTGCTGAACAAAGGCCACACACAGATGCTTATAAAAACAATCATGACACTGAAAAACTGCTATTAAAACCAAATTGCAATAAACAGGAAAAAAAAAMCAGTCCAACCCCTGAAAAAATGAGGTGATACTTTGAAAAAATGTCCCAAATTTAATGTGTTTTTTTTGTTCTTGACCAACTGATGCCCTTTCTGAGTAGTGYGACTTTAAAAGAGAGCAACTGATACAACGGCACAAACTTCAGCAGATTCCACTTCCTCTCTTCATCCCAGCATTTTGGGAGCAGGCTGAGCAGGCTCAAATACTGGATTTTCAGCCTGACACAAGTTTTGTCATTGTCTATCTTCTGATGTGTGTCACAATAATTTAGAGGCACTCTCTAAGTTCGCATGCACACACCCACACTTACTTTTGGGATTAAAAATTTTGTAAACAGAGATATTTTCTGCACTGCTACTGCAACTAGCGACAAGGAACAAACGCGACTGACGAAAGATTGCAACCTTCTCCCATTTGATAGGATGGTGGCATTAATGAACTGCTGGTAGGCATATCATAGGATATGCTGGCACTCGTGAAGGTTACCAATGCTTGTGTTGAGTCACAAGATTGTTTTTCTATGTCTTCTGAATTCAAAGAGATCAGACTAGCATGTTTTGATCTCCTCCATATCAAAGTTTGCTTTTGCAAACTTACCAAATCCTCCTTAAAGTGTGGATTGAAAAGTATATAAAGCAGTGGGTTTAGACACGCTGGCAGTGGGACAATCACTAGAAGTATTGACTTAATCACTTCTGGGCTGATAAAAGTGAGGTTTAGTAAGGAGGAAAAAGATAAGAAGGCCACAGGGCAATAAAGAATGCAATTAGTAAAAAGCAGCAAGGCTATATGTTTGACCATGGAGCAATCCCAAATGTTATCTAGCTCTCCCTTTTCCAAACTACAGTAGAGCTTTGTATAAGCAATAGTCATAACCAGGAAACAAAGGGAGTTCAGCAATACCAGTGCTACCATGTAGCCCATAGCAGCAGACTCCCCGAAGGGTAGTGGCAAACAAAGCGGAGAAACCCCATACTCGCTCCCTGTGAGGAGTGGTATCACTGCAATGATTAGTGCCAACAGAAAGCAAAAGGAAATGGCAATTTTTATGCTAGCGATGGAGGATTTTGTTTCAAACTTTGTAGCATGTTTCACAGAGAAYGCACGTTCAAGTGCAGCTAGGGTAAGGAGGAAAATGGAAGCTTCGGAAGCAAAAATGGAGAGAAGGCCCGTCATTTGGCAACCAATTCCACTTTCCCATTGTGCTCCATACTGAGCAAAACTACCAAAAGTTGATGCATCCACGCTAGCCAGTACTGCACTGGCCAGACCCATCAGGGCATTCACAACAGCTATTAAACCAATCAGAAGTTTTATGGATGACATATACAATGGAGATCTGAAAACTGTAGCGGACACCAGTGCATTGCAAATAAAGGTCAAACCCACTATGGTCCACACTCCAATTCTGATCAGCCAGCTACCAAACAGATGGTCACATGGTTTGAAGGGACCTGAAATGACAAAATAAAAATGGTAAGGGAAACAAAAAACCCATGGAAAAAAAAAGTGYTTTCTATACACGAAAGTTCATGCTTCTTGCAGATTCTCAGCACAGCCAAGCAGTGAMTTTTAGTCCGAAAGACGAGCCAGAAATTTTCTCTTCCTTTGGAGTAATCTGAGACCATGATAGCATGCTGCTAAATGTGTGATGCTTGTTGCATTACTGATGCACATGACTCTTGGTCAAGACTTCATCACGAATAGTCTATGGATTTCTTTTTGTGCCTGGCAGTACCACTGCAATGTGAATGTCAGCTCCTGTAGTTTCAAGAAATGCTGTGATATTTCTCAGTGTGAGAAAAATGCTGAAAATGTTAACTCTCACTAAATTAGACCAGGTTCCTAATGAGTCCTGGTGAAGTGTGATGGAATGGAYATGGACAGATGCACTTTGGCTACCTTATAACATGTCCTTTACACAGTCCAAGAAAACTGTGTCTCTGTTTGCATTTGGAAGCGCTGACTTTTTGGATATCCTGTGGCTGAAGTCAGGTCATTATGACTGAAGCCTGCTATGTATTCTTGTAGAATTGAGGTGCAAATGCTGTGCATTTGAAACTGAATGCTCTGCAGTCAGAGAAGTACTACATATCTTGGTATGAGAGTAAAGCAAGCCCTTCACAGTGGTCTGTGCTTTTCCATGAAGACATAAACCCTGCAGCTGAAATGACCTCTCTATGCTACAGCTGTTGCCACTAAGTAAGCACAGGATCTATTGTGTCAGTTTGCAAGTTTTTCTAAGATACTCTTTGAAAAATCCAAGCTAAACTTTCTCTCAGGTCTGGTGATAACTTACCTTGAAGACAGCAATGTCTTAATCAATTCAGAATTTATATTTGGGCCATTGGAGAATATGTGACAGTCAAGTAACTCTGTTCTTTGACTTCCTGCCTTTTCTATTAATCTTTTTATAACTTTTAAGAATTTATTATTATTTGTCGTTGCAAACAAGAATCATGACTTAAAATGAATGCTCAAGTACAAGCTGTCACTTGGGGTTTTTTTGTTCATGTTTTACACTGAAAGAATGGCTAGTAAAAATGTTTGCTGAATAAAGTGAGCAAAACTTATGACCATGGCTGGCTGCATTCTGTATAAAAATGAGAGCGCTGAGTGTCCTTTGTGTATTGGTATTTCCTAGACACAGAACTCAACTGTGTGTTGATCAAGCTTCTCACATGTAAAATAACTCTGTGAAGTTCAGAAGAATTACTTTAGCTTAGCGAAAGACTGAATGAGCAAATATTCTGCTGCCTTTATCATCTGTGTCTTMGTAGAAGTGTCTCTCCTCCCCCATTCTTTTGATATAGGTATCAATTCTGGTGAAAAGGGAAAAGGAGACTGGGTGACTGGGTAAAACTCTTGCTACACTCAGAGAAATCTAGTAGCTGAATAGTTTTCTGGAATTCAATGCAAAATTGTATATTGCTGCACAATGTACTTGTATTAGACTCATCAAATTACTGCACATCATGTTGCGGCCCTAGTATCCAACTGAGAGTTTGTTCTGCATCTCAAAAACCTAGTAACACTGTCCTTGAATTCCTATCTGTTCTGGCACCTTCATACCTGGAGCAGGTGAGCATTGCACTGAATGATGAGATTTCAAATCTTCTTCAAAGTCAAGAAAAAAGTCCTCAAAATCACGTTCATCTACAGGGGAGAAAAGAGCCAGAATTGTTACTGCAGTTTTCAGGAAAAGCTTTTTAGTGAAAGTTGAAAAAATGCCTGTGATATTTAAGGCCTGGTCTTGACCCTGTGCCTGCCAAACAGGAGCAGAAGCAGACATATGCCTGCTTGGTTTTGAATTACTGTACTCCGGATTATTTTGAAAGCTGGCATCTTTATGTCTCTGAAAAAAATCAACCTACAGGTACATTCTCTATTGCCTATTTTGTGGTGGTTGCCTAGGAAGGAGTTTAAAATATGAATTCTGCTGTTGTGCTAGGCTACTAAGAAATAATCAAGTTTTCTGTGTTTCTTATGTCATCACCCTAACACATCTTTTTGCTTCCATTCTTGCAGAACTCTGAGACTTACTGGTTTGCAGGAGCAGAGAGCACAGGAAGCAACAGGATGGTATAAATGGATGTGTGCACCTACATAACAGATCAAGTAACAGATCTAGTGCTGAAGGGGAAGAAATATACAGAAGTGTCATGTCCTGGAGAACAAATGAACTCTCTGACAACACTGGTTGTGTGCACAGACTGGGGAACGAGAGGCTGGAGAGAATCCTTTCAGAAAGGGACTTGGGGATCCTGGTCAGTGTCAGGCTGGAAAAGAACCAGCAGTTCCCTGGCAGACAGGAGAGCCAACCCTRTCCTGGGGGGCATCAGGCACAGCATYGCCAGCCGGGCAAAGGAGGGGATTGTCTGCTCTGCTCTGATCTGGGGCAGCCTCACCTGAAGAATTGTGCGAAGTTTTGGGTGTCACAATGCAAGAAAAATATAAAACTATTGGAGAGTGTCCAAAGAAGGGCAACAAAGATGGTGAAGAGTCTGGAGGGGGAACCGTATGAGGAGCAGCTGAGATCACTTGGTCTGTTCAGCCTGGAGAAGTGGAGACGGAGGGGAGACTTCACTGTGTCTTCAACATCCTCACGAGGGGCAGGTACCAACTCTTCCTCTTGTGACCAGTGACAGGATCCAAGGAAATGGCAYGAAACTGAGTCAGAGGAGATTTAGGTTGGATATCAAGAAAAGGTTCTACCCCTAGAGGGTGGCTGGGCACCGGAACAGGCTCCCCAGGGAAGTGGTCACAGCAAAAACCCTGACAGAGAACTTTTGGACAATATCCTTGGGCACATGGGGTGATTCTTGGGRTGGTCCTGTGCAGGGCCAGGAGCTGGACTCCATGATCCTTGTGGGTCCCTTCCAACTCAGCACATCCTATGATTATATGATTCTATTATATAAATTATGCCAAACTAGCCACATACCTTGGATATGACTCATCCTAAAGTGCATGGGTAAGCCAAGGATGTGTTCCATTCTGAGGATGGCAAGAAACGACACCTTTGCTGACCTGCCCTTGTATGGAGTTACAGCTGAACTACTCTGTCTCTCATATAAAAGGAAGATTTAATTCCCCACATTACTGTAGCTATTATTTGGACGAAATGATGAGTGAGTGTGTGAGATTTTTGAATGGCAGACCTAAAATAATGAGTTTTCTAGGCATAGGAATGCTTAAATAACATATTATTGAGCAAGAGAGASGGAGAGACAACCTCTCTGACTCTACAGAGTATTGGATTTATTTAACATCACAGGTTGCTCGCAACATTCAGGTAGGTTTAAAAGCCCAAGATGATGGTTACCTTGAATTTGTAACAGCCCAGCATCCTTTCTGTGAAAGTCATCAGTGCTGCTATTCTCATCTTTGTTCCACTGGCTGGAGATTCTGTAGTGGTTCTCACAAGCTCCAAAGGCACAGCACTGATAAGCATAAGGCATTTCCATGACCCTGCAGAAGAATGAGGAAGCATGCCTTGATACTGGTTCAGCACCAGAGTTACTGATTTGTACTGCCYCTCTATAGTCAACACAAAGGAAATAGTTTAAATGTCCAAAACCAAAAGTAAAAATACCTCTGGGTAAAAATCATGATTATACAAAACCCATGAAATTCCTCACCAGAAATGCAGATAGTTTCTAGGCTGATATTAGAAAAGGGACAATGAAGTTTTCTTAYGTGTCTTCCTAGGAGACATGAGAGTGGGAGGTCTATGTCTTGTGTTCAGTGAACGTTACTCTGAGCTGTATTTCTATTTAAAAATTTTTCAATKACTTTACTGTATAAATCATCAGTTTCTCCAACAACTACTTTCTTAATGGTTTCTTTAAAAAAAACCCCACAGCCTGAAGATCACAGCCTGCCTATCAGGCAAAACCAAAATGCTTCCCAAACACAATTTATCCACTTTTGGGAGAATCAGATCTTTTGGAAATCAAGCTTTATATCCTCCTCTTTCCACATTCAACTCTTTTCACAGTAAGATGGCAAAAAGGAGGCTGYTTCTTGTGCGGAAGATCAAGAAAGCAGTGTTCTAAACCAAAGGGTGAGTGAATCAGATACTGTGTGGGAAAATGGATGCCACTGAGAGAAAGGTTTTACTTTATTAATTGTCATAAATATGAGAACAGTCATTGCAGGACACTGGATACTCATTCTTAATTCTTTTAAGTTCATTATTATTCCTAACACATAACAATATTATGTCAGTGATTTCCAATGATTATGAGGGTTTCTGTTGTCAGAAAATTGCACATTTCTGGTAGGCTGTGAATTTAACTTCTTTAGGGATGTGCAAATTCTGGGGGAGCATAGAAGAACTACTATCTGAGTTCTACAGACTACTTCAGTTCCATAGGTATGTTTTATGCTCTTTAATTTGCACAGTTCACCARCAGCACATAATAAAACCTAGCAACTCACCTTAATTCCAAAAGCCCAATAAACCAAAAACTTCAAAGATAGAGGTGATTAGAAGTTATTCTGAATTAACTTWAAAGGAATAAAGTAGAACTGGATCCTCCTATCAGATTACTTTCAACAGGTTAATCACGTAAATTAACATAATGAGTGTAATAACCAACTCTAACCCCCTGGRAAATCTGCAGAGAAATCAGGCTGAATCAGGCCCAGTGCCAACAGGACTTAAAGTTGTGCACCAGCCAAAAGCTTGGTACAAAGGGGAACAAACGGAATCTTAAGCTCTAAAGTGATTTTCAAATTAGTGCAATGCATTTGGGGGCATTTAGATTCTATACCCTTACATTTCTGCTGGAAATTAACCACAATAATCGGTACCCTTGTACCCAATACAAAATTTTTAGGGTACTCAATAAAAATTCAAGATAACCAAGATCTAACTGTCAAGCAACCTCAGGGCAGCAGATTTAGATATTTAATTTCCAACTCATTCATGTGCCTGCCATCTTTTAATATAAGGAGATTATCTTGATTAAACATTTTTGAACACATTTCCCAGAAGCCCTTCTTAAATAATCTATTATTAAACCCATCGATTACTAGACTAACCCATAGTTAATCATCTGGGATAAAAACAATCCAAATCCCAAAATAGAAATTCCCCTTTTTGCAAAAAAAAAAAAAAAAAAAAAACCCAAAATGACACTGACAGTTCTGTGAGGTGATCCCTGCAACTTGTGGCTTCAGACCTTTCGAAGGACATTGATATAGCTGGAGGAATAAACAGTGGGTATTTTAGGCACAAGAGACTAATGGAAATGTATTCTATTCTCTGGTTATAATAGCTCTATGTGCTTTAAAATGACAGATCTCCAGATCCTCTTGTGCTTCTACCATCCTGCTAGCCTGTCATACACTGGAAGTGTGGGCTTTCCACATTGTACTGGTCTACTATTTTGATGATGTAGCCAAAAACATCCATGGCTTTCAAATGCTCATTAAAGAGCAAGACTCCCATTTCTAATCCTCTCTGTAAGTATTTCTAGCATCCTTTCTTAAATCTGAATAGTTTTTCTTTGTTTTTGCCCCCAGCCTGTGTTATTAGGCTATACGCATAATCCTTAAATTAGCAAATGCTGCTTAATCTGTGTGCAAAGCCCAACTGCACAAAATGGCTGCAATCCAGAACACAGAGGACAAAAACTTTGCAAAGCAGGGAATAAGTCAGCTCTTTTTGGTGAGAGAGGAGTTTTTTGTTTTCTTGCAAAAACTACGTTTAACACAAAAAAAAAAGGAACTCTCTGGCATACAGTGCTGGAAGCAGTCGGTTTTATGGCTGGTGCTTATTTGATGTGGGTGATTAGATTTGGACTTTGTCAAATTAAACTCTTAGAAACACTGGCTAACTTTATTTTTATACACTCCTTATCTTACTAATGGTATCTGTATCCTTGATAAATTTTTCCTCTATCAAGGAATGCCTCTTTTTTCTGTTTTTAGATTAAGCAGCAGAGAACACAAGGTCGTTTTCTACCTGACAAAGGTGAGGAGTTAATGGTGAACAGGAAGGCACAGTTATGGTGAATGGTGCAAAGCACTGAGTTCTTTACAGTGCTGAATCAAAGTATCAGATAAAGAAGGAAGGAGTGGCTGGCAGCCTGACTTTGCTTCCTCAAGGCTTGCTGTAATAGGCTGGGCTCAGCTCTGCGGAGTGTACCAGTGCTATTGCTGATGATGAGGAGCGGGATGCTCAGCTCTTTGATGTGGCTCTATTGATGAATTTAGATGAGTAGGAAGTTTTTCTGCAGCAATTTGTCTTTAATGTTGTAACCATTGGCTACTTACAAAATTGCAAAGGGTGAAGTTTCATTTTGTTTTCGATCTCTGTTCAAGTTTGGTGCTTCGTGCATTATCTCTGCAGTGATCCCCTGTGAAACCCCAACCTCATTTYGATTTATGGTAAAAGTCATGCAGACTGTAGGTCAGGATTTTACCCTTTTCTCTCCTGACTGGATATAATTTGTTCTTACAGCTGTTAATTAACTGTAGATATATTAATCATACTTAGAATACATTTGTTTAAGAATTAAGTTAGTTTGACACATMCTTGTTAATAATATGCCCAGATGAAATACATTTTCATTTCAGCAATGTACACAATTTTGCTGATGGGAAATTAATATAAAGTATAGTTTTGAGAAAAGAATTAAAACAATCTTAGTTATACACAATTCAGTTGAATAATGGATTATTCTAGGACTATTGAAGCACCTCTTATGCCTCTAGGTCATGGTATATACTTCATTATATATTTGCCAGGTTGGAGTAATCAATTTTCTTGTGTTTGCATTCTTTTAAAGAAACTCAATTATTTTAGAATTGTCACCTGCCTGAGCACATGGACAAGTCARTAAGAGAAGAAAAAGCATGGCATTAGCTCAGTTTCAGCCAATCATGATTTTTATGGCATTTGCTCCTTGGCCCCTGAGACCTATCTCAAGATCTCTAATGTAAAAGAGGTTTAAGGTTTCTAATACTTTGAATGTTAGTGTTAAAGTTTCATGCACTTGTTGAAGTCACTGCCTAAATCTCCTCTGTGATAAACTACAATTTTTGGGTTTATTAAAACTTTTAAGGATTTGTTTTCTTAAAACCATGGAGCCATTAAAAAAATGGAACCATTTTTTGCAGCTCTTATCTGAGTTTTATTAATGTGTCACCACARAAGTGCTCTAGGGTGGATCCCTCCAGTGCTGTCCCCTGCAACCTGAACCACTCTGTGGTTATGTAACTATGTGCACACTATTTTGTTCATATTTTCTGATACCAAAAYTTTTACAGTAAAACATGATAAAATATATGTTGCACTTGACATCTTCTAATTACAATATAAAAATGAAATGAGAGTTTGGGGAATCCCAAATACCCTGAAGTCAGAGACAGAGCCCTCTTTGCTGTGACCCTGAAATTAGTTCARTTGGTTATTGCATGATGCTAATAATGCCAAAGTCATGGTTCAGTCCCCATATGGGCCACTGTCATCCAGTGGCTGGCAGAGCTGTAAATGATCTTTAGAGGACACTTCCTTCCTATACGACAGAGGACCCAGAAGAAATTATTAGTATCAAAATGTGTTAGTAATACTGGCAAAGTATTATCTGAATCTTARTCAAAAGATTACAGAAAAATCATGTTGAAAGAAAAGAAGTAAAATATTTTGTTCTTTCAGGAATATATTCTTCCCTTGTATTTACTGTGCTCTCATTACATATTTTAAAGGAGTTCTGTAAGCACAATCCAGTAGAAGAAGGACATATCACTAAGCTGCCAGGGATATTGTTTTAACAGCTTTTGAAACATATCACCAGGAAGCAGATGTGGCTCGTACTAAGCAAGTACTGGGGTTARTATTTCAAAACCCTTCATAGTTTCTTCAGTTAAAAGTGAGCATAATAAAAGAAGTCTATCATTTTTATCATATTTGCTTTAGTTTTAATGGCACAGATCAAAGACTGACAATATGAAGTAACATGCATTACACTCTGACACACCTTCCATTGCACATGAACACAAATGTGGCTTATTAGTTTTAATGATATACTCACTTGAGTTCTGGAAAATTTTCAGATGTTATCAAACTTTGTAGGGCATGATTTCCTGTTAATTTTAAATGAGTTAAACCATGTAGCCCCGTCACAGGAAAAGAGGACAAAAGGTTGAATGACACATCCCTGCGTAACAGCAAATAAAAATCAGCTTATGGTTTTAATTTTTTTTTCAGCACTAGAAGTGTTACATTGAAAAAACAGGTTAAAGTTTTCTAACTCAATAAGAAATGACTGTATTAAACAGAGGCCCCAAAGAAGAGAGCAAAGCTGCAACATGGCTCAGGAGTACTCACCTCTATGCCTAGCAGAAAGCTAATAGTCACACCTAACAGTTAGTTGTGTCTCGGTTCCCAAATTTTGACTCCAARCATTCATAGTGCCAGTTTTGAGACTAACAAATGAATTTAAAATSTTCTCACTAGACTGTTTGAATTCAAAAAAGGCAGAAGAGCTTTCCACAGTTTGGAAGATTCCRTGGGATGCTACATGGCATGGCTGCCCTGAAACTCCCCAAGGAGCAAGTCAGGTGCATGGGGAAGRTGTGCTTTTCAGGATAGGACAGGTCTGGGCTGGAGCAGAGGGAGGTGACATTGTGACATTTCTGAGCTGAGGTTTGTCTGAGCAGCTGAGGGGAGACAGAAGCATACAGATGAACAGATATGTAACTTGGGAGAAGTCAAACAGGTGAATGAAAAAGTGATAAATGATCAAGGAGATATGGCAAAGTAATGAAAGAGGGGGAGTCCAGAGCTACTGTTTCCTATTTTGGTCTCTCTCTCTTTCTTTTCTCTCTCTCTCATTTATTCCATGAGTCTTTTCAGTCCTCCTCGCAATGATCTACACTGCAATACTTGAGATGGTCAGCAGTCAAGGAGGAAGAAGTGGAGACTGATGCAGCTGAAATGCTTTTATGCCCAAGGCTGAACAGCAAAGTCTGGACTACACACTGAAATCTAAGGCCTAGGCATAAAATAAGGTATGTTGATGGACTGGACTTCTAGCAATCTGGTTTAGTGTGCGCCTTCATGCACAAAGCACCATTAAATACCAGARGTGAAATTCAGGTCCTACTGCAATGGTAAAAATGACCACTGACTTGAGTCAGACCGAGGTCAGACCCTAGCATTCCAGGAAACACCAGTACACTGTGTTACTGTCTGTGTGTTAAAGGGCTTTTTTCTTTAACCCCCTGACTGTTACATGATATTGTCCAAAGGTAAAATTTGCTGCTCACCTCAAAAAGTAGGTAAGCTCTGAGGAGGGCTCARAAGGTGATATTACAGACAAAATTGCCTGTGTGGACATTTGTCAGCACACATTCAGAGGGCTTTGCACATCAACAGAAATAATACCTCTCCAGATTTAGGCTTCTTAGCAGCTACTGAATTATCTGTGAGCAAATGCCCATCATCATATCTCTGTGACAACCATGCAGCAAGATGACTCCAGAGGAATTGTTTTTCACATCTTCCCCATATAGCCAATGCCTCAGGGATTCATGTTAAAAAAACATTATAGTGACAGTTGAAGTAAGAAAAAAATTAGTAAGCACTGWGAAGTGCTTGTGAACAAGATCTGCAAAACTGGCCGCTGATGTTTTGACCACTAACTGCTCTGGCTGAACTTGCTCAAGAGAAACTATTTCATCAAATGAGAAACAATGAAATGAAGATGCRTTCTGGAAAAAGTTTCTTATTTAATTTTTAATCCAATTCCTGAGTCCTGAAACACAACTAACAGGAAATATTCTCCATTGTTACAACAGACTAAACTGCTAGCAAATAAAATGAAAAGAGTCAGATGCACTGATAATCTTCAGGGACCCCAAATCATCCTGATTATTCAGTCTTGTATGAAGCTTTGCTGTATTACATACATGAATGGGGGCAGTACAGGAAAGCAGACATTTAGATATGGATTCAACAGACCAGATGATTAGAACAGAGAAACCCCCCATTTCTGCYGGGGCACCAACTTTTTAAATGTTTGTATGCTCTTGCAAGTAAAATGCAAAAATCTGAATGTATAAGACATACAAATACTTACAGTTTGATCAGAGATGGTAAAGAGGAGAAGGCATTGGGGTGAATAATTTTAATTTTGTTCCAAGCTAAATCCCTACAAGAAAAGTGAGTAGAAAATTACATACCCACTGAGTGAATATGGAAGTTTTCAAACACTTGATTAGGATGCCTAAATATAAAAAAGGTATTAATTACATGCCAATATTTTCAATAAGCTCCTGCATATCTCATAGTGCAAAGTATTTTTTTAATTTTAAAATTGTTAGACAGGTGTGGTGTTATTAAACCAACATAAAATGTTTTAATGTCTGCCACAGTCCAAGGCTTTTCAGTCTGCTTCGCAGCTTCCCAAAGCAGCAGAAAGAAGGGTGGGTTATAAAGACTACGTCTTCTAAAATGTTCTCATGTGACTGAGAACAGCAAACCCATGGTCAATAGGCTTTAATTCCTGATCTCAATTTTTACCATCCCTGAAAAGTCAAAAATWCTGAAAGCGACTCTTGAAAAAAATGTATGGGTTCAATTCTGTGAAAAAATACAACCATGAGTAATTTCTTGACAGAATRTCTCCTCTAGCACGTGCATCTGTGTGGAAACTGGAAACCTGCAGATGACTGGACTCCATGTCTTAAGACACTGTTCTCTGTAAAGAGATTTCCCACYCCCAGAGGTGATTACAATATAAGCCTGCCAACAGATACCAACTCTGGCCCAGTAACTCTCTCCACCTCCATCCAAAACATTTAGAAGTAACAGTTTTTATGGCTATGAGCTTAGATATTTGAATCCATTGCTGCAGATGCTAAACTTCACAATGTTTGTTCTCCTTTCAGTTATGATCTCAGGGTGAAAGATCACAGTGAGGAAAAACTGAAATAAGGATCTTTCAGGGTACATCATGACAGGTATTATATACCCCACATTTCTGAGAACCTGTGTGAATGTCTGTTAGTGGGTACTCACAGAGACCGAAGAGCAGCCAGCTGCCAAAACGTGTCTGCTTTGATTTCAGCGATTTCGTTATGATGCAAGTCACTAAAATAGCAATAAGAATCTCCTCAGTTTCCAAGACTCTTGGAAGGCACTTTGGGCTGCTTTAGATTGTGCTTATGATCCACTTCAATAAAGTGTATCTGGGGTATATCAAATTAGCCAGCAATAACCAAGCCAGCAATAACCAATTACACTCAAACACACATAGATGCATCTTTCTAAGATTGTTAGGGTGATTTGACACTTACATTTTCTGGAGTTTTTTACATGCAGTAAAACAGGGTAAGTCTTCCAGCATGTTATAAGACAGATCCCTGAATTACACAAAAAATGAACAGATTAACATCAAAGTAATGTTAAAAGAAAAATAGCTTTCATTGTGTACCTTCATGCTCAATTAAAAATAGCTTGGTTTTATCCACAGTCACAGAAGAATAGAATTGTACAAATTCACTTATTTCTCATCTGTCACATTTTGCTTTCTAACTGAAGAGGAGAGAGGAGGGGAAAAGGCAAGATGTTTAACTCCATATCCACATTTGCAAATTCCTTGCATTGTCTGAAGATTTCATGCCTGAAGTGTAGATTTCTGCTGAGTGTTTTACAGTAATGAAATTGGCCACCTGCTCACAGAGAACACTGGATTTACATCACAGACTTCACATTTATCATGTTTCAATTCTGATAAATATTTAAAACATTTAAAATAATCTATTAAGCATATACACTCATTTTTTTAAAAAGAAGATCCTGTATTTTTCTGATAAGAATCACCATCAGCTTCCCATTCTACACTTTGAATTAAGCAGTATTGCCTCTGATCCTTAGACTGCTATGTCTTGTAACTGAGGGAAATGGTCAAAAAACACTGGAACTAACTTTGAAATCAATCACTATATCAGGGGGAAAAAAAGACTTGAGCCAAAACTCAACAAATTACAGAATAACTGAAACATCTGGACTGATTTATAGTATAATATAACTAATCAAAACCAAGCTCAGGCAATTTGCAGAAACTGAAGGGAAAAAAAAAGGAACCAAACACCAGTCCTCACCATCCAAGAGTCCCATCCCATATATAYACATGTGTGTATATGTGTGTTGCTCAGGGAAAACTAAATGGGAAATTTGCTTGTGAAAAGAACAGAGCAAAAAGGCTTCTGCCTAGATTTAGAAAAAAATGTCCTTTTTCACAGTTATCCAGTATTATCACATGAAAGAGTAATTTCACTTCTGTGAAATTCTTTTCAGTTCTCACATTTTCTAAAAGTGGTTAATCTCCACCTATTTAATTCCTTGGTAAAACAGCATTTTCACTTTTATTGATCCAACAGGGGCATTCTGACTATTTTATATTTGATTTGTGGAAGTATTGTAAGTAATGACTGTGTGTGTCTTTAAGGCATTCTGCTCTGATTTTACTCTGTACAAAGGCAAACATCCCCATGTTTGGGCATTGTTTTTTTTTCTTTTTCTGTACAAAAAAAAGGTACATTGTGGCCCAAATCAGACACTACAGAGGAGGACTGAAGTGAGCTGGATGCTTTTAGGCCAAGGTAAAGGATGCTTTGAGTGTCTGGCAGACAGTGGCTGTTCTGTCATCCACAGGCCTATCACTTAGGTCTTCTTAAAAGTATGTTACCAGCTTGAATTTTGTGGCACTGACACTCCCTCCTCACACATGGAAAAAAACCCAAACTGAACTTGACTCTTTTCTCCCCTCAGTTTCTGTCAGAAAGCCAGGAAATATTTTACTAGTTTATTTTTAGGGTCTTTTTTTCCCACTTTCTTAATACATGAGGCTCTTGGCAGCAGCAGAGGGCAAATGGTTTTGTTTCCTGTGTTGAAGCATCCCCAGCTGTGCTGAGGGCAGCCTTTCAAGGGCTGCTGGGACGGTGTTCTCTCACACACCTTCACTGCAGGCGTGCACACACCCAGGAACTCTGTGCACATTCATCCACATTTGGAAGTACTGGTGGCCAGGCAGGATGCATAAACTGCCTTTCAAAGCAGAGTTTGCCCTTGCAGTGTTTGTGAGTGTGTCTGAGCCAGGGAGTCCCTGTGAGGTTTCCAAGTAACTCGTGGGTTCGGTTCGCCGTTATCCACCATGGTTCAGCCAAAACTGATGCGCAAATCAAAATGAGGACTCGGCAGGCTCCTTCAATCTGGCAGCAATGGGGAAGGAGCAGCTCTTGAGTACTTGAAATTGAGATATATCAATTCCCTGCTCTTTTAATATAGCTTCCCAGCTCTAATAATATAGGGTACTAAAAAATAAAAACCCATAGATTTCCAATGGAAAGTCCTACTCTACTATGAACTTTTAAGTTATTAATTGCTGTATTATTTTTTTGCCCTCTGTTGTGAAATTATTTACTGTTTTTGAATGACACAGGACATATTTAAACTTGATTCTGTGTGCAGACTTTCTTCTGGCAACAGACTCTGTCTTTTATCATTCTGGAAATGATTATATTGAGTCCGTTAACTAAAAGTTAATTTTTTCTGGAACTGTTCTTGACATTCACTCTGGTATTCAAATAATGTATTATAATTAGTGCTATTTCAATGTCGGCCAKAGAATTAATACCAAATGCATTCCTAGTGATGTAATACATAGAGGAAAGTGCTCCTGGCTCATTCTCAAAGAAGTGGACACAATGATTACTTTCGTTAGTGATTAAGCAAACTCCAAGGAAATTTCCAAGCAAAAATAACATTGTATATTTAGTATATCAATTATGCCCAACTATGTCAAGGAATGGTCCAGTAAAATTTCAGTCAGCTACTTATGTCTGGTTGGGAAAGAATCTAAAAGGAGAATAACAAGGACTTAAAAGTGCAGTCTTTAGTTATATTTTCTATTCACTTCAATGAATTATTTGCCTTAGTGAGAAAAAAAATCCCAAACTACTGTACAAGAGACAGAATGAAAGAAAATAAGGTAGTTCTGTGTTTTTTTAAACAAAATCAAGACCTGTTTCATCCTTTCCTAAAAATATGCTCAGTAATTATCTTTGTCAGCAATGTATGGGAAATCCTGATTGGTAAGGGGCTTGTAAACTTTCGAARTAACACAGGGGCCAGCTCCCTGAGCTGAATTCCTAAGAAGTAACGTGATACACAGAAATAGCAGTAATTGGGTAATTCTGAAATCATAATGTTTCATTTGTCCATTAATCTCTTGTATTATTGTCATGTTAATAATCTTACTGAAACGTACAGCACTTGGAGATTAGGTAACTGGTCACAAGCTGATTTGGGGAGAGAGGTGATCTGTGCTCCTGTGAGTGTCCTGTTGAAAGAATTTGAGAAAGAAATACTTTTTAAAGATTGAAAACCAAAATTTTTTTAGGACATTCTTTAAATAAGTCAGTATACAAGAAATAAACAAAGCAAAATTTTTTCTCCAGCACTTACAAACTCTCCAGACTTGTAGTCCCTGTCAGATCAGGAAACTCTGTTAACTGTGAAGCACCATTTAAAGTCCTAGAATTAAAAAAAATAATTTCCATAAAATTATGGTGATGGAAGTGCAGGACAATTCTAGCACTGCAATATAAAAAGACAACTAAAATAAAAAGTAAACACATACAGAGTTCTCAGTTCTGGTAAGTGTTGAAAAGCAGATTTTCCAACAAGCTGGATAGGGTTATCATAAAAATGTCTGAAAAAAAAGAGACAAACAAAAAGACATTTAATGAAAAATACTTTTAAAGATTGTAATTACATAATACGATTGTAGTATAAACAAATGAGTAAACTCTCTATGATAAATCACAGAATGTGCCCCTCTGGTTGTAGCAGAGGTGAACTTCTGGGCTTTTCTCTCCCTCTAATCTATATTCACCAACCAAATCTAATATTTTGAATATTCAAGTAATCACCATTTTCCTGCTTTAAAGCCAGAAGCTAGTCAACAAAATATTCTCTTTTCCTCCTAGGTTTGCAGACAGAAATGCACTTATAAAGAATTTTGTTATGACTTGAGACAAATTTAAGGATAGCAGATGAAAAAGTCAGGACTTCCCCTACTCAGAAGAGGTTCCCTTGCTCATTTGGAGTCACTCTGCTTTTGTTCGTAGACTATTACTCAAGAGGAGTCATTATTTTTCTTACATTTATTTTGGAGTTTCTTAATTTGAAGTTGTCCATTAAGTGTATTTTCATGTAAGACAATGGGAATTCAGAGTGGAGTCCATCAAGAACAATTTTTACTAGCTTTGACATTGCCAGTAATGCTAAGAGATTTAGAAGGAACTGTTCAAATAAAAGGTCAAAGGCCAGAGACCAGTGCTTGCTTCCCTTAAACAGGGCATGCAAACTGCCATTCTCTCCATGAAGCTGGAAAGATCGGAGCTTGTTTGCTTGTGTGATGACATGCTACAAAGTGTACTCACAAGAAAAGATATTTGACATTTAGCCTCAAATATGATACTTAATTCCACATTCTCTAATACAAAGAGTCACTGAAAAGATTCTTATCACTCACATTGTAATAAGTGATGGATTACCCACAAATGCACGCTCAGGTATCGACTTGATGTTATTGCTATGAAATCCCCTACAAAAGAAAAAAATTGTTTATATGGTGAGGAAAGAAAAAAGTGAAGATTCAATCTGTATTCACAATGTACAATGATGACTTTTTGTCTGTAATAAGAGAGTGTCTGTATGTGAAGGCAAATTCTTGTTTTCTGGAATAAGACAGAACTGAAAAAAGCAAAAGAAAAGAGACGAGACTAGTCAAGAAGAGGAAAAGCAGCAAAATTGCTGAAATTCTGCACTTTTCTAAGTGAACAAAACCATTCAGATGAAGTAAACTTCAAAATGGCATTTTAAAATTCAGAATATATGCATGTATGTATACAGATGTAATGTACACATACACATGTATATGAACTAAGAACATTAGTAGTTAGCTATTAACAATTAAGTAGATAACAATATATTTTCCCCTGTGCTTGTTAAACTGCAACTATTTCTTTTGCTGGATGGCACAAGTTTAGCAAGTAAACTATAAATGATCCTCCCACAACCACCTTTTTGTTGAGGTATTTTAAATGTGGTCACAAGCAAAATGTAGTTGTGCCTGCTGGATAGAAAGCCAAATCCTTGTCTCATCATTAATTACTGGATTTCATTTATATGAGTAATTCTCCATTGTGAAAAACAAAAGGAACGACTAAGATTTCAAAAGAACAATGATGATTTGTGTGGGAAACTCCCATTAGTTCAGTCGGGTATGAAGAAGGCTTCCCAGCTTAAATTTATGCATTACTAAGCTTCCAATTGTTCACTGATGCAAGCACACTTGGCCATTACTTGAACAGGTCCCACATTATCACTTTTACTTGTTTAGGCACTGTGCTATTGGTGATGAGCTGCAGAGCCAGGCTTTACATCCCCACTTGCCATAAAAACATGCAGATGCAGACTCTGAGCAGCGTGAGCATCTCATCTAGAACCAGTAAACAGGCTGGTTTTGAATGGGATTCCTTGCATGGCAGAAAARAACAAGTAAATGGTGTGACTGCTTCCCAGAGCAATAGCTGCTATTAGCTGTGGACAAAAGGCCATGGTTTGTGTTTTGAGGCCAGGCACAAACTCTGAGACACGAAGTACCACCCAGAAACCCTTGCTAAGGCAGCCCTGCAATGAGATGAACCTCTATAGGATCGGGTTCCCACGTGGGGGAGAAGAGCAGGGCACAGACAAGGGTGGGAGAGACATCCTGTTCTACAAAATCAGCTCCCAGGGCCCAAACAAAGCACGGAACCACACGGCCTCATGATCTGTGCTGGATTTGGGATGTCAGGTTGCATTTTCAGGCTCCAAATGTTTCTTGCACACAGGAGCTCAGGTGAAACAGCAGGTTTGATACTCACAGGTGAAATCCTGTGGGGCCCAGTACAGAACCTCAGGCACATCAGGCACTTTGCTGGATGGGGTGCATTTGCTGAGAACTGAGTTACCCATTTTTGGCTACTGACTCCAGAGCTCAGCAAACAGGCAATTCTTTGAGGTCTCTGGATTTCACACCAATTGTTGTATAGCATAAATACCAGCTGAGAACATTTAGGCTGGGAAACTCATAGACCTGCTGTCTCTTCTTCCTGCATTCTAGCAACACTGGAGGTGCTGAGCAGGAGTCCACAGTGTCTGGGGGTCCCTGCTTTTGAAAAAATCTCTGGTAGCTACTTAAAAGTGGTTTTTAGATCAGTTTGTGAAGTAGCAGGGGTACAGCCATGTCCAACTGGTGTGTGATTATTTATTTTTGTTAAAAATCTATGCTGATAGTACTACTAACATGGTAAATAAATCAAATGGAAAGAATTCTGAATATATATTGATGTGTACCTTGTGCGTGTGATGTGTGAATGTAATTTAATTACTTTTAATTTTTAATAATTCAACTGTTCTTCAAAATAAATTTGCATAACTTCATTTCATTGTTGATTTGCTTAATGCAAATTATGCCTGTGCATACAAAAGTGTTTTATTCCCAACATTACTAAGAACTGATTATATATAATGAAAAGAAATTGCTTTAATTTAAAGGAGATGAGGGAAGGAAGTTGGTAAAATTTAATTAAACCTGATGAACTAATAAGGATGCTGAGCCTTCTTAGCTAGAAGTCGAATGTATTGGTTTGTTTATAAATCTAGCTGTTCTGTTTGAGACTAAAAGTGAATTAATTGTGTTTATTATTTACTGTATTCCAAAGAGGAAGTTTCTGAAAAAAACTACGGCACAAGGCAATATGAAAGTAAAAGTTGCCTAAACTGAACATTGAAACTTACTTTTTAATGTATGCTGGCATGTTTATTAGTTTTACCTAGGATACCAGTTTTTAAGGATTACCGATAAAATCACCAGCATAAAAAAAAAATCACACACTAGACAAAACATCCTTCTTCCTAATATGAACTCTGTACTTACAGTTCTTTTAGGTTTGTTAGTGTCCTGATAGCAGTGGGAAACTCATCCAGACTGTTGTAATTTAGGTCCCTGTGTGAAGATAGATTTTATTATTTTGGTTATGCACCGAATAACAGATAACATAGCATTGTTGGCATTTATAATGAACTGTCATCTTCTATGCATTGAATAAATACATACAGCAAAAAGCCAGGAAAACCTCAAAAATTTATGGATATTTTCCAACAAACTCTATTTAAAGCACATTATCATTCCTATTTTTTATCATCATTCTATTTTTAGTTACATTTTAGCTATTGTGCAATAATGTAAGCGAATTTGAGTACTGCTAAGGGATTTTCTGTTTTATAAATTACTCATCATTTTCATTACATTAAAGTATTAACAGGGAAAAATATTTCAAAAGAATATTCAATGACTTTGGTGAGCTGCACTTTACATGTCTAATACATCTCTCTCTAAAGMTTTCTAACTGTATTGTTAATTTTAAGACTTGACAATAGTCAAGAGAATACTTCTAGCCACACAAATTGTAAAAATTATAGTGTAGCTACGGTAGTGATCTCTGCTTTAATAAGTGCTCATGCTGCAGAAGTAATTACATTTTATTCTGGTAGGCWGAATGGATTATAATCCTACCTCTGCCCTGAGCATGACATAGGTATCCTTTAGCATTTAGGAGATGACTGAAACTAAAACTCAACACGCCAGTTTACAGTGATGCTCCCTGACAAAGTTTTGTGAGGAAGARTCTGAAAAACTGGAGCAAAAGCCTTTTTAAACAGGCAAAACCCAAGCCACAGTTTACAACAGATTGAAATTGAAATAGTATCAGGCTGAAGTAATGCAGGCAGGAAACTGCTGTCTGAACTCAACAAGTCTTTCCTTCCTGCTTGCAAATCTCTCCTGCTTATTGACAAAAAGAGATTACAGGCATGCAGGGTTTGGTTTGCCCTCCAGTGATATGTGATTTCCAGASCTAGCCTCAATGCAAACAAATGATCTTAAAGCTGGCGTCCGTCATTTACACCAAGATCTCTTCAGATTATCCTGAAGTTATCTGGGAACTGGTCTATCCGTCATGCAATCACTGTGCTTGAGGCACGTGCTGCACTGTCCTGCTGCAGTGAAGTGGTTGCACCTACACCTATTCCCAGGTTTGYGACTGTCCTCTGTGTTTTCATCTCTCTCATGCCAGATGGCTGAGACTGGGTTTGCAATTACTTATCCCATTGTTCCTTTTTTCCCCATTTGTGACCAAGAGCCATGTGACTATCACTTAAAAATACAAACCAAACCATTACCTTTTCCTTCTTCCTTTTCTGTCCCCCTTTCCCGTGCTATACTACGGGACTTGCTCTCAACTCACAGATGGCTAAAAGCCCAAATCGTAAACCAGCAATTCAGTGGCAAGGGATCAATGCAATCAAAACCGGTGGTAAAAAAACCAAAAAAAAAGTAGCCCAAATCTTCTTGCTTCCTAATCTTAATGAAAGAGGAAAGTGAGCAGTACACAGGTTTGTTTGAGAAAGCAAACAGTCACCTTTAGACTAGCATTAACCATGTCTGAAACTATTTCTCATCATTGGGTTTTTAACCTCTGTCCTGGTTGGGTAAAACATCCAGAATCTCTGAAAATGATGCAGTTGCCTGCAGCAGGTGCTGGGGGAAGCACATGCAAAGTTTTACTGTCCTGGTAGCATTTTTGGGTACTGAGGGCTCCTCTGGCAGACAACATCTATATCTGACTAACTGCAGCAAAGTACTTTCTACTAAGCATTAGCATTGCATTTCTGTTTGGCATTTTATACAGATTTTTTTTTTTGTTAGAAAACTCTAGAAAATTTGAATTTGTCTAAACAGAACTAGAGTGAAAACCTACAGAAATTTAAATCTTTACCAGTGCTATTCTTTATCAGAGCTCTCTAAAAACAAAAGATTGGATACAACAGAAACATTTACCTTCTGCCACTTGTAAACCACATGCATAATTTGGCTACCTGGAACTTTTTCCAGGTATAAAATAATAAACCCATCTAATTTTATAACTCTTTTCTAGGGCATGACAGTTTCTTAAAGCTTTTCACTGTGACAATTTCCCAATCTAGCTATTAGCTTTATTGATTGTACAAGAAAAATAAATAGTACTAAACTAGGCAACCATAAGTTCATGAATAGTCACTTCTTTGTCATTGCTCAACAGTTTTCAAGTGTCTTTCAAAGAATTTATCAACTGACAATGCTTATTAAAAAGGCAAACTAATTTTATAGTTAAAAATAGGATTTGCTACATAGAGTCATTGTGAACTATCACTTAGATCCTGTAGTGATTAGGCAAGCCAAAGCCCACATTTGGCTTTTAGGCTATTTTTGTTCTTTCAGAATATTAATGAAAACACTCAAAAAAAAAGGAAACAAATAAGAGGTCAACTCACAATGTCTCTAGGCTGTGGAGCCCATCAAAGCATTTCTTTCCCAGGGAATAGATTCTATTGTTATGGAGATGTCTGCAGGGGAACATTAAGCACGCAGTCAGGAAAGCACACTGCACACAGTGAACTTAAGCAAAACATTTTGATGATCAAATCAAAAGAAACTCATTTTCAGACATGCATTGATTATATGCAAATCACGCTTTTGCAAGAGCATGTACAGCAGGCACCTCTACCACCGTCCTCACTTTCTCCCAATAGCTCTCCACCCTTCCATTTGGTTTTCACAGAGGGGATCTGCTTTAAAACCACCTAGACTGCTCAAAAGTGTTATATCCTGGACTTCCAGGCTGGGGTTTGCATAATGAACAGACTTAATCTCAATGATAGCTAACTAGTTAATTAACATGTCTTGAAAACTGTGTGGGGTGTGAAGTGTTTATTTGGAAGATGTATAYTCAGAGGGYGTTAGAGGTTACTGCCCTAAGAGCAGCCACTGAGGAGATGGATAATACAGCGCACARGTAAGGAGCACTAAGCTTGCAGAATGCAAAAAGACACAAAACCGTAAGACAAAAAGTTGTAGCTTTCCTGAGATGAGCAAACTAAGTAATCTTAGGCAAAGTAAGTAATCTTAGAAGCACCATAATGAACCTTTCTTTGAAATTATAAAAATCAGTAACTACTTCCTAAAATACTTTGCAATTGAAAGTAGTTTTTATACATTTTAACTAATTCCTCTCTCCCCACCCTGCCCCGAGACTCTGAGTTCTGCCTATTTCTGTCTTTTAGACTGAAATGGAAAAAAAAAAAAAAAACCACTCTGAGTGAAGCTCATTAATGTGAGTAGATTCAACTTGTAACCACTTCAGGTAATTTAATTTTAAAAGAATGTATTTTTCCTAGATTTTTCCCTTTATTTTGTCCTCAAAATCCTACTCCTAGAGCTGAGGGTAACTACAAGAGTAGTGCTTTAAGAGAAAAGAAGGGCTGTAAATGAGTGGCTGCAAGGCTCCTTCAATACTTCATCCTATTCTGAAAATATTGTTAAACATCAGAGGCTCTCTGAATGTTCTGCAGAACCTACAGAAATTGAGTCTACCTGTCCATCAAAAGCATGGATTGTGACAGCAAAATAAAAATACTCTGATGGTTTTTCCTTTCCTAGGAAGAAACCTAATCAACTTTATTTTTCATGACTACTCTGACCTTCAACTCTTTAGTTAGAAAGAAGAGTGCATCTTCAAATTCCAATTATGTTTAGATCTTTAATGATAAAGTTTTGACCTGCTCCAATTGACCATGCATTTTTGCACTTTGTTGAAAATTTGCCAGACTGTATAGAGTATCAAACAAATGAAAGTAGAACCCTACACAAAGATTTTGATGATCCAAAATTATCAGATGCTGTAGGTCATGAGGTCATTCAATTATGAATCACTAGAAAGCCCAGGATATTAGAAATAAGCAAGGCAGACCYTAAATAATGCAACCTAACTGAGCAGAAGCAAGCATGGCACGAAAAGAAAACTTCTGCATTTCTTAAATGTCCTCCTACCACTACATCTCTGGTAGGGATCTAGAGAATAATGTTCAAGACAGCCTCTTGTCTTTTCTTTTTTATTGCTGATATAAATCTAGAAGGCCAATCAAATGACAAATCCATCCATTCTTTTAACTTGCATGGGATTGATACCCAATGTAAGGAGAAGGCAACGGTTTTGCAGCACAAGTCAGCTGTTAATCCCCATTTTTGGGGCCACATGTAGGCAGAGACAGTGACTCTCAATGTCAGTAAAGAACCCTGATGTGTGCCAAGTTCAGTGCTTACACTGGGGCTAGAATATGCTAAAACATGCTAAGTATCTTACATAAAACTATGGTTTCAGACAGCCTGCAAAGCTCAAATATATAATTCTCTCTTTAATAATGCTAATATTTTCCAAAGCATCCTGAAATTACCTCTCCACTTCAGTTTCTCCAGCCAGTCTAGATTTTTTYCACTCAGTACATTCCCAGAAGATAAAAAGCTGAAATCACACTTCATAGCATACCTTCCAGATTTTGGTGCCAGCCATGCATGTTTCAATTAGTTGAACTGTCATGCAAACATAACCAGATACAAAACTACATATACTTTCTATGAAGGGAAATGAAGATTTTTTTTCTACTGGCTGACATTCTTTCCAAGCCCCCCTGAACGACTTCCGTTCATTTCCTGTTTCTAATCTTCCCTCATTCAGTCTTAGAGAGCACACAATTAATCCCTTCCTGTTTGTTTTGCTGACCAGATAGGCTGGTTTTTTTTAATTTCTTGAATATATTTTATTGAGGTGGAAACTTTTAAGCTAGTGGTTTAGCAAATGTTAGTCAAACTGTAGAAAGKTGCAATAAAATCTGCTTCTCCAAGAGGCCAAAGACCTGCAAGAAGACATTGTGTCTAAAAAGCAATTAATAGTACTTACAGAACTACCAAACTGGAGAGGTTTCCAAAGGCATAGTCTGGTATGTAATGAATTTTATTCAGTGCCAGTGTCATTGCCTGAAGTGCTGGTAAACTCCTGAAAGCTTGGACGGGAATTTCTGTCAAAGAATTATCATCCAGCCACAGGTGTCTTAAGGAGACCAAGCCGTTGAAGCAGTTGGGGGGCACGTAGTTGATGTGGTTGGCATCCAGACGTCTGGAGAAAAAGAAACAGAGAGAGAAAACTGACTTTAATAAAAGAACAGTGGCTTTGCACAATGGCTCTCAGCAACTGTCACCATGAACACAACTCCAAAGGATGGACATGGAGTGCCTCTTCCAGTTTTCATTTCYGGGAGATTCTGCATTTCCACCTTGCTTGCAGCCTCCCCCTTGAGATCTCAAATCATGTTTAAAAGTCTGCCTGCCAGCTGGCTTTGCACAGACAACTCTCCTTTGGAGCCATCAACTCACTGAGAACACACACTGATCATTTTTGAGCAGAGTCTCTCTGAAGACAGGGTATGACTTTGTTTCCGTTCCCAGTTGTTTGAAAGTATGGAACAACAAAGTGCAAGAAACTCATCCAGAGATTCTCTTTCAGGACCTACAAATCACTGAGTTGCAAGGTAATTTGGACTTCCATATACTAAACATCCGTTGCAAGACCCATAAATAGAACTCCTGAGTTTGGAGGTTCTTGCTTTACCTTTTCTTAAATTTTACAGAGTTAYTGAATCACAGAATATGCTGAGTTGGAAGCAYCATTGAATCCAATTCCCATGCTACCCAGGACCATTCCCAGGAGTCACACCATGTGCCCAGGAACAGTGCCCGAATGTTTCTTGAACTCTGTCAGGCTTGGTGCAGTGAACACCTCCCTGTGGAGCCTGTTCCAGTGCAAATACTGTTCATTTTAATGATTCTAATGAGAACTTAAGTTCACACTTTTTTTAGTAGTGGAACGTAATGTGTTTTACCTAGAGATCAGTGTTGCCAATGTGATGTATTTGTATTAAAGAAGAAGTTCCTAAATCCGCTTCAGCTGCTACAAAGCCAACAGAGGGAGCTCAACTGCACTTTGCAGAGTCTGCAGGTGATGCTTTGTTCTTACACTTGTGTAAATAAGGATTAAATCTACTGAACTTTTTTTAGATSTGGTGCTACAAATATAATGCCATTTATTCACTGGCTTTTTCTTAAGCTGTATTTTGCTTTTTCATTGGTACTCTTTCAAGGAAAGATTTAAAAGTGCACTTCAGATTTCTGAGACTTTGTGAAACATCCAGCTGGGGATGTGGGCCCTGATACACTTTTTTTGCTTTTATGTGTTTCAGTGACTTGTACCTCTTCCATAACATGAAAGCTKTGCTCAAAAAATTATAGTGAAATGYGTAGAGAGGAGAAATGAGGTGAATGGTAAAACAGAAATAAATTTAAATAGACGTTTGGAAACACTACAGAAAAACAGCCACACCCAGGGTACAAAGTAATTCTGTACAACCTAAATTTGGCCCGTTTGAGAGAAATGCAATACTCTTTGTGGTGGATATACTAATCTCTTTATTTAAAGCTGCTCCCTCATTTACAGTCATGTACAATGTCAGGTCCATTCTATCTCCTGTTCCACACTGGCCCTACCTACTGCAAGAGAACAAATAATGACTGCTAAGGCTCTGTGCCAGACTGGCAAATAACTGAGACAAGGTCAGTTGGAACAAATTTATAAGGTTCAGTGTCAAAGCCCTTGTACAATTAAATTTTCAATATAATAACTGACATGTCAGGCAGCAGAGACAGAGCTTCCAAAATAACTCAGTGGTCTGTCAACAAATGGGTAAGGCTGGAAATGTTTAGAAACACTCATGTTGTTCCTCCCCCTTTCCCCAGGCAACAACCATGTTATGCCTGTGTTTTCAAATTAGGTATGATTTGAATGAGTAGATGAGGTTTCTTKGTGTTCAGTCAGAAGTAAATTTCTTCCCTGGGTGATGCAGGTATGTAAACTAAGAAGTTACAGTTGCCTTAGTTTGACAGTTTCACTGATTAAAGAATGGAGGCTTTATTCAAGCTGCATGTGTTGCAGTACTGCAGTTAACATCTTGTTCAATAGGAAGCCTGCCCTGATGTCCCCGCTGACTCCATGGCAGTTACTCACAGGATGCCTGGCTGTGTGGAGAAGCCAACAGTCCCTTGTTTGTATGTGGCTGTTTTGACCCTGTGGCTGAAATGGCAATATTTCTGCTGTCATCAGCGAGACCGGGATTTTTATCTTACCAATATTTCGTAGCATATCAAGGAACTGATTTTTTTTAAAAAATAGCTGAAGTTTCCAAATATAAACCCACCACTGGCTGTGTAAACAAAACACAGCACAGAAAGAAAAACAGAACTGCTGCACTGTAAATGAAATTCTAGATAGTTGAATTATTGTTTAAATAAAGCTTGAAAGAAATAAAAAAAGCTGCAATGATTTGTGCTTCAGGTTCTTTAACTGGATTACGTATCCTGCGAGTACTTATAAGAAGTACTGCCTCAAGTGCTCTTTTGTTATCTAATCTTTTTTAAATTTCCAAGCACCGTTTTCCCTCTTGCAGATATTAAAAGGTTTCAGTAGTGGTTCTATTTCCTGTCATACTGTAGGTAATGCACACTGATGTATAAAGCACTGATCAAAATCACCCTTTTTAGCCAATTGTTTTACATGTGTTGATCAAAGTTTTGGCACTTTCAGAACTAAACCCATTAACTCACAAACATGACCCTATTTATAACTGAAAATATATATAGATAACATGTGGTGAGTTTGAAAGCTGCTATTATGTTCCAGAGAGAGCTAATTTAGGGAAACAGAAATACTTGATCTCTTCTGATAGGCAGCATGTAAATAAAGCAGCCACTATGAAATTCACCATGAGCTCACTTAAAACGTCTAAACCTTTCAAAGAAAATGCTTGAGCTAGGTGGGCTGTAACCCACTAGTGCTTGCTGTGACAYACTGTGAATGCTATGACCATATGCACAAATTATGAAAAGAAATGGTTCATGTGGAATGGAAACTRAAGCCATTTACTGGTACAGGAGAATGTAGAGGTTTAGAAAAGATTTGATTTGCACTTTTTTGATCAATTTAATATGAATGGATGCTAAGTTTCATGTCAGTGGTAGGTTTCTAAGTATATATATTTTAAAAAATATTTTTAATGTATATATATTTCCCCCCGCTTTTCTGTATCTTCTCTCAAAAATAGCTACAACCTGGGTGTATCTCACAATCCAGAAATTCCTTAATGTCTTGTTGGAGTGCCTTACTCATTCATTCAGGTTTAAATCAATCCCATATCTAAATTTTAAATTTAGATATGGGATCAGGAAGTAGATTTCTCCTAGGTCATGTTTCCCTCTGAAATAGCTATTACATGGATTGCCTCATCTTGAGTAGATGAGGGCCAGTATACAACGAAAGATCTGGAGAAGAGGAAAGCCACAAAGATGGATAGAGCAGCCAAGGATAAAATTCTTCTGATGTTTAAAGTAGGAGAGGTAAAACCAAAAGCAAAGGGACTGTATGTAACAGTTAGGGGAGGCAGAGAAGAGGSAGCACAGGAGGACAGATTTTAGGCGTGGTGGGCTGAAGAAGGTGTGTGCCTCTCCCTCTCCTGTCACCTTCCCSTTCTCCTGACTCAGCTCTGTTACGCAGGGCGCCTCAGTCGAGTGTCTCCACAAGTATGGAGCAATGATGGACAGGGGTTGTGCTCAGGGCCTGTCTGGGGAGGGCACAACAGGCACGAAGGGGTCACTCACTCGCAGCCCGTCACCTCTATTGGTTTAGTGTGTGGGCACACAGACCCTCTCAAGGGCTTGTTCACAGGAGTTTCACTAAAGTCTCATTTAAGTAATGGCAAGTGACATCTAAACCAGCTCTGAAAAGTGGGTATAATGAAAATATAGCTGGCTATTGTAAGCCATGTTTTTCAAACATGGTCTTTTGTGCAGGATATCCCCTTCAGCCCACAGGGGAAAATGCTGGGACTATTGTAAAAAGCTTAATTACAACACACCAGCCCAGCAGTTCTCACAGCTCATTTTTATAGGACTGACACAAAGAACCCTGCATGGCAACAAGAAGACCAAAAAAGACAAATCACTAGTTGGGCCACTTTTTTCCCCCACAACTCCCATCCCACAGCGTGTCGTTGTATGGCCCCTGGGATCTGCCTGGGAAGCTGGTGTAAGCCCCAACACTGCCAACCACTCCAACAGCGCTCCTTGGCCTCACACTTGCAGGAGGATTTCTGGCTAGCAGTTCTGAGGTAGAAATATTAGTCTGTCTTAGAGACATGATGTAGCCTCCCTCTTGAGATTACTCATCAGACAGAAAAGAGTCAGAGGCCTAGTACCTTCTGTTGGAAAGAAAACATCATCCGGTGGCCGGGAATTGTTGATCTAATATAGCCAATTTGCAGCGCACTTTGAGAGCAGCTGGCTGATGGAGTTAAAAGACTGCACATAAAAGAATACAGCAAATGCATTTTAGGGAGCTTTGCACCTCTACCTTCGTCCCCTTGGTTATGAATCCACAAAAATGTCAGGGATTGAGAGGGGTGGTCTGACATCCCACTATAACTTGATGTTTCAGCCACTCTTCCATTGCCCAGTGCCCTGGGGCTGTGATGCTTAAGGTTCAGCCAAACAAGGAGACTGCAACAGTGAGTTCAGAGACACCTTTGTGTATGTGTACAGACATCTGCATGGGTACAAACAACCTCAATTTAAAATGTGGGAAATTCCTCCTCTGGGAGTTTGTGGGTACCTATTGAGGTACCAGCTTTCCTAAGAAGGATAATACCTTCTGTAGCCTTCATTATCATGGGGTGTGACATGGAAAACCACAACTAAGGTTCCTGTCTTTTCATGAAAACAGTTCTCTGCAGAGACTGTAATTTCATCAAAGTTGTTTGGTCTTTCAACTAAAAATCAGGATTATTAACAGAAGCATCAAACTGGAAAATAATTGTTTAAAGTTAACATTTCTGGGAAAATAAAAAGCGGCTCTTTAATTTCAAGCCTGAACTGAAAACATTTCAGAACTATGTGCCCTCAAAGTCTTCAATTCCTTGTCTGGGCTAAGCATGAAACCTTCTCTTGAAATGTCAAATATTTGGGGGACTAAGGAGATGATGAAAAATCCATTTGCTGACCTGTTCCAGCCAGGAA